CATACCTGTAATCCTAGCACTTTGGGAGGCCAAGGTGAGCAGATCACTTGAGGTCAGGAGTTTGAGACCAGCCTGGCCAACATGGTGAAACCCCATCTTCACTAAAAATACAAACAACAACAACAACAACAAAAAACAAACCCTTGGCCGGCGCGGTGGCTCAAGCCTGTAATCCCAGCACTTTGGGAGGCCGAGGTGGGTGGATCACAAGGTCAAGAGATCGAGACCATCCTGATCAACATGGTGAAACCCCGTCTCTACTAAAAATACAAAAAAAAAAAAAATTAGCTGGGCATGGCGGCACGTGCCTGTAATCCCAGCTACTCAGGAGGCTGAGGCAGGAGAATTGCTTGAACCCAGGAGGCAGAGGTTGCGGTGAGCCGAGATCGCGCCATTGCACTCCAGCCTGGGTAACAAGAGCGAAACTCCGTCTCAAAAAAACAAACAAACAAACAAACAAACCCACCAGACCAGCGCGGTGTCTCACACCTGTAATCTTAGCACTTTGGGAGGCCGACGCAGGTGGATCACCTGAGGTCAGGAGTTCGAGACCAGCCTGACCATGTTGGTGAAACCCTGTCTTTACTAAATACAAAAAGAATTAGCTGGGGTGGTGGCACATGCCTTTAGTCTCAGCTACTCAGGAGACCAAGGTTGGAGAATTGCTTGAACCCAGGAGGCAGAGGTTGCAGTGAGCAGAGATTGAGTCACTGAACTCCAGCCTGGGCAACAGAGCAAAACTCCGTCTGAAAACAAAATAAAATATGTAAAATAAAATAAAAATTGGCTCTTGATTTTCAATAGCCTCCTAACTGGGCTCTTCATCTTCAATCAGTTCTCCACAGTGTTGGAGTCATGTGTTGCTTAATGACTGGGATATATTATATGTATCAGGCAATAAAATGTGTCATCAGGCAATTCAGGACCTGAGTAGATTTTTTTTTTTTCAAGGAAGACAGACGAATGGCCAATAAGTATGAAAAAGTACTCCACATTACTAATCATCCAAGAAATACAAATCAAAACTACAATGAGTTGGGCATGGTGGCTCATGCCTGTAATTCCAGCACTTTGAGATGCCAAGATGGACAGATTGCTTGAGTTTAAGAGTTCGAGACTTGCTTGGGCAACATGGCAAGAACCCATCTCTACCAAAAATACAAAAAATCAGCCAGGTGTGATGGCACATGCCTGTGGTGCCAGCTACTTAGGAAGCTGAGGTGGGAGGATCAACTGAGCCCAGAAGGCGAAAGGTACAGTGAGCTGTAATCATGCCATTGCACTCTAGCCTGGGTAACAGAGCAAGACGCTGTCTCAAATATTTATGCAGCCAACAAGCATATGAAAAAAAGCTCATCATCACTGGTTATTAGAGAAATGCAAATCAAAACTACACTGAGATACCATCTCACACCAGTTAGAATGGAGATCACCAAAAAGTCAGGCAACTACAGATGCTGGAGAGGATGTTGAGAAATAGGAATGCTTTTACACTGTTGGTGGGAGTGTAAATTAGTTCAACCATTGTGGAAGACAATGTGGTGATTTCTCAAGGATATTCAACTAGAAATACCATTTGACCTAGCAATCCCATTACTGGGTATATACCCAAAGGATTATAAATCATTCTGCTATAAAGATATATGCACATGTATGTTTATTGCAGCACTGTTCACAATAGCAAAGGCTTGGAATCAACCCAAATGCCCAACAGTGATAGACTGGATAAAGAAAATGTGGCACATATACACCATGGAATACTATGCAGCCATAAAAAGGATGAGTTCATGTCCTTTGCAGGGACATGGATGAAGCTGAAAACCCTCATGCTCAGCAAACTAACACAGGAACAGAAAACCAAACACCGCATGTTCTCACTCATAAGTGGGAGTTGAACAATGATAACACTAGGGCACATGGAGGGGAACATCATACATCAGAGCCTGTCGAGGTATGGGGGACTAGGGGAGGGACAGCATTAGGAGAAATACCTAATTTAGATAACAGGTTGACAGGTGCAGCAAACCACCATGGCACATGTATATCTATGTAACAAACCTGCACTTTCTGCACCTGTACCCCAGAACTTAAAGTATAATAAAAACCAAAACAAAATAAACAAAACCAGAAAACAAAACTACAGTGAGATATCACTTCCCACCTTTTGGGGTGGTTATTATCAAAAAGAAAATATGTAAGTATTGGTGAGGGTATAGAGAAAGGGCAGCTTTGTACACTGCTGCTGGGAATGTAAATTGATACAGTTATCATGGAAAATAGTGTGAAATAAAAACAATTTTATTTAAAAAATTAAAATAGACCTATCCTAGGATCGAGCAACCCCTCTTCTGGATCTGTATCCTCAAATGAAATCAGCACCATGAGAGATCTCTGCATTCCTATGTTCACAAAGCATTGGTCAAAATAGCCAAAACATGGAAATAATCAAAGTGCCTGTCAACGGATTAATAGCTAAAGAAATTGTGGGACATGCAGGAATATTATGCAGCCGCAAAAAAGAAGGAAATTCTTAAGTAAGTTCAGTCAGACTTATTTTAGTGTGAGTGAATAAGTCAGACAGAGAAAGACAAATGCTGTGTGATCTCATTTACATGTGGAATCTAAAATAGTTGAACCCCTAGAAACAGATGATAGAATGGTTGTTATCGGGGGTAGAGAGTTGGGGAGAAAAGGAAGCTATTGGTCAAAGGTATAAACTTGCAGTTATAAGATGAATAAGTTCAGGAGATCTAATATACAGCATGGTGACCATAGTTAATAATACTGAATTATACAATATACTTGAAATTTGCTTAAATGTTCTCTCTGAAAAATCAAGAGTAACTAAATAAGGTGAGAGATGTGTTAACTAACTTGATTGCATAACAATTTCACAAAATACGTGTGTATCAAATAATCACATTGTATACCATCAAATTGTAGAATTTTATTCATCAGTTATACTTGAACAAACTGGAAAACTAAAAAACAAACAAACAAACAAAAAAAAACCAGGTGTGTAAGTATTAACAATGCTGGTTGTAAATTAAAACTAAGCATCATATTTTTGGTGTCAAAATGTTAGACATTTATCAGAAAACATGTATAAGTGTTCTGCCTCTTGGATGAGACCATTTTAAATTAAGCTGTAAAAAAAAAAGTACTGACAGTACAGTTCACTTTCAGTAATCTGGGTTTTCCCAAATAGTGACATGAAAGCCAGTCATTTTGAATCAGACAGTTTGAGTTTCTCTTCAAGAATCTGAAATGTAGGTCAGGGCTCTGCTGACATTTCCATTGATCTCAGAGCTGAAAACCTGAAGCGATCGCTGACAGGCAGGCACTGGGGTAAGAAGACATGACACAGCCAGCAAGAGTAGCACCCTGGCTCTGAAGTGGAATCATGTGCTTCACACAGGTTGAAAGGTAAATAGGCAGTGATCATCCAGATATTTAAAGACAGCTTGTATTTTCTTTTGGAAAAACATGGGCCAAGTCGTTTTCTCTTGCAGGTTCTCATGATACTCCCTGCAGTGGTTACTGATGAAAAGGGAATATATACTATTGTTCGGCACCATATCACTTTAAATAATAATTATTGCATATTTCTATCAGTTAACTTCTAGCTAGGAACATTTTTAGGGCTTATGTTGCTTCTTATGAAGAGAAGATTTACTATTGCTAACAAATTATGAAAGGGATCCCTATCTTTCTGAGCCGGGGGGACCCCAGTTTTTTTAAATGTTACTAGATATTTTATGCAATTTGATGAGCCATGCATTGCGTTCTCTTGTTGTTTTATAGAAAAAGCTGAAGTTTTATTAAACAGATGAAATAACTGAATAATGTTGATTGTTGGGTAAATGCGTTAATTAATGTAACTGATTAATTGAATTGTGTAACTCTAGTTGTAAACTAAAAACAGTATTATTAGGAATTTCTATAATGTGTTTACTTTGAGTTCTTTACAGATGAAAGGCTTTTTCCTCTTTTTTGGGGGTGGGGGGAAGGGGGACAAGGTCTCACTCTGTCGCCCAGGCTGAAGTGCAATGGCGTGATCATGGTTCACTGCAACTTTCACCTTCTGAGTAGCTGGGATGACAGACACATGCCACCACACTGGGCTGATTTTTATATTTTTAGTAGAGACAGGGTTTTACCATGTTGCCCAGCCTGGTCTTGAACTCTTAGGCTCAGGTGATCTGCCCGTCTCTGCCTCCCAAAGCGCTGATATTACAGACACAAGCCACCATGCCCAGCCCAGACAGAAGGCTTTTTACAATCTAACTGGTGATAGCACATATTGCTTAATCTCACTTCACTTTTCTTCATTTTGAATCCATTTTCTCTGGGAGTTCCTGAAATTTTTGGCTCTTCCCAAATTTCGCTCATCAAAGACTAATATTTCTGGAGTGTGAGAGGTACATAACTTTGGCAGGGAGAATAATTCATCATCAGAAGTTAGCTCAGCCCAGGAACCGTGGTTCACGCCTGTAATAGCACTTTGGGAGGCTGAGTTGGAAGGACCACTTGAGCCCAGGAGTTTGAAATTATAGTGAATTATGATGATGCCATTGCACTCCAGCCTGGGCTACAGAGCAAGTCCTTGTCTCTAAAAAAATTTAAAAGAATAAAAAAGAAGTTAGCTCAGAGGAGGAGGTATCTGATGAGAAAGGCTAAATTAGAAGGAATTGTATTTTAATGGGTCAAATGCCCCACTGAGATAATTCATAGTGACTTTTGAAGAGTATAAAGTTCTATTTGTTTGCTTTACTTCTCCATCTCTTATTATATCTCCTAAAAATACCAGTAACGTTTATTTGTTCCCCTCCCTGCCTCCTTCCGTCCCTCTCTTCCTTCCTTCCTTCTCAAAGGTTTCCATCAAATATAATAACTCTTAGGGGAAAAAGTAATGCTTTTAATTATTTTACTAAAGTATTACAATTTAAACATTTTCGTATTTTTTTCCAGAAGGAAACAATCTTTTCCTGCTTCCAGACATGAATCAGGTCACCATTCAATGGGATGTGGTAATAGCTCTTTACATACTCTTCAGTTGGTGTCATGGAGGTATGGTGTTTTATGTAGCGATTACTATCTTTCATTCAACAAACAGAATATTGAGTGATTATTATTTTCACAGTGTTATGTTAGAATTTCTGAAGAATACAAATATTATTAGACTGGAAAAATGTGTGCATAAAAATTATACAGAAAGAAATCAAAAAGGGTCCAATCTCCTTCCAAATGAAGGATTTCTGTCTCAAATTTCCCTTATGGACAGCCCTCTCACTCACATGCGAATGTTTCCACAAAGGAGCTTATTAGTTTGAATTTGCATGTTCTATCTTTAAACTGCTCTAACTGTTATATAATAACCTGTCAAACATTTGAATGTAATTCTATCTTGCAAACCACTTACTGCTTGGCACGTAGTAACTATGTGAGCCATTGGCAAGAGTATGGTTTTATGCATTATATTCATACTTTGCTTAAAAAAAAAGGTAGCCTTTATCTAAAAAAAAAAAAAAAAAATCGAAAGATTGGTTGAGTAGCTAGAGAATGCAGTTCAGATTCTGCAGTGCCCAGTGTTATTTCTAATCTTACCTTGGAAAAATATGGTAGTTTCATAATCTCTCAGTTCTCTAAAGTAGAAGAGCTAATTATATTTGTTCTTCAGACACTCAGAGAAGCTTCCAGGCTGACTCCAGTCTTATGTCATGCTGCTGAACATCAATAAAAGCATAACAGAAGCTGGGCACGGTGGCTCATGCCTGTGATCTCAGCACTTTGGGAGGCCAAGACTGGTGAATCACCTGAGGTCAGGAGTTGGAGACCAGCCTGGCCAACATGGTGAAACCCCGTCTTTACTAAAAATACAAAAATTAGGGGCTGGGCACGGTGGCTGTAATCCCAGCACTTTGGGAGGCCGAGGCGGGTGGATCACGAGGTCGAGAGATCGAGACCATCCTGGTCAACGTGGTGAAACCCCGTCTCTACTAAAAATGCAAAAAATTATCTGGGCATGGTGGCACGTGCCTGTAATCCCAGCTACTTAGGAGGCTGAGGCAGGAGAATTGCCTGAGCCCAGGAGGTGGAGGTTGCGGTGAGCTGAGATCGTGCCATTGCACTCCAGCCTGGGTAACAAGAGCGAAACTCCGTCTCAAAAAAAAAAAAAAAAAAAAAAAAATTAGCTGGGCATGGTGGCACACACCTGCAATCCCAGCTATTTGGGAGGCTGAGGTGGGAGAATACCTTGAATCAGGGAAGTGGAGGTTGCGGTGAGCCAAGATTGCGCCACTGTACTCCAGCCTGGGCGTCAGAGTGAGACTCCTGTCTCAAAAAAAAAAAAAAAAGGGCCTAACAGAAACACGCTGTAATAGGCTTAGTTTATGAAAAGATACATTTAGTCCTAAAACCATTTTCAAAAGAATCATTTAATTAATAGAAATAATAAATTTAAAATGCAATAGCATACTCTTCTGAATCTCTTGTTGTAATGTTTTACATGTAATTTATTATTTTTCTATTTATTTCTAGGAATTACAAATATAAACTGCTCTGGCCACATCTGGGTAGAACCAGCCACAGTTTTTAAGATGGGTATGAATATCTCTATATATTGCAAAGCAGCGATTAAGAACTGCCAACCAAGGAAACTTCATTTTTATAAAAACGGCATCAGAGAAAGATCTCAAATCACAAGGATGAACAAAACAACAGCTCGGCTTTGGTATAAAAACTTTCTGGAACCACGTGCTTCCATGTACTGCACTGCTGAATGTACCCAACATTTTCAAGAGACACTGATATGTGGAAAAGACATTTCTTCTGGATGTAAGTGTTGGGGCACATTGGAAATGCAAACAAAAGCTAGTCTAACAATTAACTGGTCGTTACCACACTAGTCTAAAAACAGGGGCAAAATGATATAGCTCAGTTTTTAGATGAGTTCAGTACAGGAGCTGCAAACTCACATGTCTCCAGGGCCAGGTTGGTGAACTGTATGAATTGTAGCAGCTAATGGGAACTATGCAGAGAAGAAAGTGCATAGGTGGTCTCCTGGGGGGAGCCATCACCCAGACCCAGCATTCACAGGGGCCCAGTGTTCCTACATCTTTTGGCTCTTCAAAGGAAGACAGAAATATAAAATTTTAATGTGTACTCTTAAATTTTAAAATGTTGCCAATACATTCAAACTATGATTTTTCACCTCTACCCTGAACAAACACTGCATATGTGAAGGCCAGAACCCTTAGATTTAAAATGTTGCTCTTTTAATCTTCTTTGTTTTGTTTTGTTCCATTTTTCTTTTCTTTTTTTTTTTTTTTTGAGATGGAGTTTTGCTCTTGTTACCCAGGCTGGAGTGCAATGGCGCAATCTCGGCTCACCGCAACCTCTGCCTCCTGGGTTCGGGCAATTCTCCTGCCTCAGCCTCCTGAGTAGCTGGGATTACAGGCACGCGCCACCATGCCCAGCTAATTTTTTGTAGTTTTAGTAGAGACGGGGTTTCACCATGTTGACCGGGATGATCTCGATCTCTTGACCTCGTGATCCACCCGTCTCGGCCTCCCAAAGTGCTGGGATTACAGGCTTGAGCCACCGTGCCCGGCCGTTGTGTTCCATTTTTCTAAATTAATATTATTTACCTTGAAGCAGATCCCATTGAGAAATTTTGAGGCCAAAATTTAGGGAGAGTTGTAAAACTCGTTTTGTGTTCCCACTGCACTCCCAGGTTTGTGATCTTGGGTAAGTTGCTTAAGCCTTGATTCTTTGCCGGTAAAAGGAGGCTAATTATACAGGCTGTGTTAAGCACTTAATTTCAATAATTTATTTGGGAACATATGATAAAGTTTAGAGTAAATCAGTACCCAAATCCTTAAAAATGCATCCTTTTGATAAAACATAGGGAGATTCTTCTACAATCCTCTGTTCCCAATCTCACTTTTCCGGTTGAGAATCACTCAGTTTGTTATTGTAATTACAATTTTTTTTTCTTTTTCTTGTTTTTCTTTGTCTTAAAATCCACCTTGAAGGGACTAATTATTAATTTATTTAAAAGCTTAGTCATGTTAATCTTAAAAATATATGCTAAATTCAATTTGTGTCCTGAGTGTCCTGGAGATACTGAAGTTACTATACTGATACGGGCTGGCTTGTATAATTACATACTTAGCTTTGGTTCTACTATTATGAAGGGTAGATCGATAAGTTTAGCACTGTTTTAACTCAGATATTCATTCTCTATGGCACTTGAACCCATTTTCAGTAAAAAATAAAGAGATTTGTGTCTTTGCCATGTTCCCTTCCTCCATACTTTTGAGAATCAAACCTCATTTCTTGCTTCTTCACCTTTAGAACTTAGCTGGGGGCAGAACCATGTCACCACTACCACCTGACCCTGTTGTGACTGCTTGGGAAGTAAGAGGTTTCTTTGCTCTGTAATGAAGCCATTGTCCTACTTAACTCTGAGCAACTGATCTTGCATGCTTTTCAGGAGAGGGAACTACAGAAAGTCGTAGAGTTGAGTTGAGGAAGGAAAGTCATAGGTTTTGGAGTCAAAGAATAAACCTACCTTAAACTAATGCCTTAAAACTGCTAAACTTTGACCTAAATTGTGGAAATTAAACCACCGGCAGACATCTTATCTGATGTATGAAATCTCCTTAGCTTGTCCACATCCTCAGGAAACATGACCAAACCTCAATGCTTAAATACTTTACTATTTATCCTTTGCGGGTGGGAGTTGGGTAGAGAGACTATACAATTTCTTTAGAGGGCAAATAAGCAACTTTCACAGTTACAGGAAAAGGTTAGTCGTTAATTTAAGCCAAAGGAAAAAAGGAAGCAAAATAAACATTGTCTCTGTTAAAAAACAAAATTTCAGCAAATTTAGTTTTTAGATCTGATACGTTTTTATTTGTGATTCATGAATCTGCAGCATCTTGTTCTGTAAAACAGATATGTTCTCTAAGTGTCCTGGAGGTGTTTAAGTTACTATAGTGATATGCGCTGGCTTGTATCATTATATGTTTAGTTTTGGTTTTGCTATTATAACAGAACAGTTGGTTTTATAAGGTGGGAACAAGAAATGAAATTTAAAAAAAAAAAAAAAACCAGATTGATTAACATTGTTACTTCAGGTTATTTTCCCTGTAGTTGTTAAAGCAGAGGGAGTTTCCTTACCATTCCTGGTCAGGTTGACTGGGCTCTTTCTACATGATTGCTGTGAATTTCCTGTTTTCAGGAAAAACTAGTCTGTGTGGGGTTTTACCTGCTTCCTTAAAGTTTCAGCTTCATTATATGTCACTTAACAGGAGTGACTTCATTTTGGTTTGGCATGTGGGGGCCTAGTGCAGGAGCTCAGTTCGAAACAACGGCCTCCTATGCCTATTTAACACAGCCTTCCCTGTATTGCAGTTTGTATAACTGATTACTCCCAAGACCCCTCGAAGTGTTAGCTGAGGGGCCTCTGTCCCCAAACCCAACACCAGGCAATGTATAAGGTCAGAGAACAGCCTTTGTTCCCCTTCCAGAACGGCCTAATAGAAATACATTCACTGCTGATGGCTGCTTAGAAAGAACATCACTTTTTCCACTTACTTAACTTGTGAGTTATAACTCCTTACATAGGCCTCTGGTTATGAGTGTAAAAATGTAACTGCCAGGTGAGAATTTACTCAAACCCCTGGATTCAAGCTGAATGGCTTCTTGGGCTCTACATTCTTAGCAAACAAAACTTCCTATTTAAGTAGGTCAAAAAAAGGTTTTTGAGGGTTTTGTGGCATTCTAGAAATCACATTGCTTTCACTGGACCACTTTGATCGCAGGATATTTGTCATGTGAGCTTTACTATGTCAACTTATCATCACTGCTCTGAACAAAATGATTATATGTATTTTTTTGGACTGGAGACAAATTGTAAAAGCCAAGATAAATGAGTCATTGCTTTCCTTGAAAAGCTATCCAAATATATTTAAAAGTGCTGTGCTTTAATGTATAATTTGTGAAATATAAATCGTATTATCACAATTTCCATTTTTACCCATGATTTTAAACATTTCTTAGACTCTTGTCTAAGATTAAATGCACACATATTATGGGAAATTTGTTCTAATTGGACCACACCAATCATGGGATAAAATACGAAATGTCTTTATTCATTAAAAAATGCCAAATTAAAGCCAGGCGCGGTGGCTCAAGCCTGTAATCCCAGCACTTTGGGAGGCTGAGGCAGGTGGATCACAAGGTCAAGAGATCGAGACCAACCTGGTCAACATGGTGAAACCCCGTCTCTACCAAAAATACAAAAAATTAGCTGGGCATGGTGGCACGTGCCTATAATCCCAGCTACTCAGGAGGCTGAGGCAGGAGAATTGCCTGAACCCAGGAGGTGGAGGTTGCGGTGAGCCGAGATCGCGCCATTGCACTCCAGCCTGGGTAACAAGGGCGAAACTCCGTCTCAAAAAAAAAAAAAAAAAAAAAAAAAAAAAAAGCCAAATTAAACCATACACAAACAGTCATGTTTCTACTTACTCATTTGCTTAAAATTTTAAGCATCTTTGACTTTTTTAATTTTAAACTTCTTTGGCCTTTATTTACAATGATGAAAGCACATTTGTTGTTCAATAAAAACCCCTGAATATTTGTTTCTAACATTTCTATTAAATATGATTATGGAACAATTAGGTTGGCCTGTGCCCTGCTTGGGTAAGAAACTGTAGAGTCATCTGGCCAGGTGCAGTGGCTGTAATCTCAGCACTTTGGAAGGCCAAAGTGTATGGATCAAGAGATCGAGACCATCCTGGACAACATGGCGAAACCCCATCGCTACTAAAAATGCAAAAAAACTAGCTGGGTGTGGTGGCACCTGCCTGTAGTCTCAGCTACTTGAGAGGGTAAGGCAGGAGAATCTCTTGAACCTGGGAGGTGGAGGTTGCAGTAAGCCTAGATGGTGCCACTGCACTCCAACCTGGCAACAGAGTGAGACTCTGTCTCAAGAAAAAAAGAAAAAAGTAAAAAGATAAAAAGAAATCGTAGAGTGATCTTCTTTGCCAGAATTATTGTGCCTCTCTTCCTTTTAACTCTTGTTATTATCTTAATCAAGCCAATCAATTCATGGAATAAACTTTATTGAGTGGTTACTACGCACCAAAAATGTGTTAAATGCTAGAAATACAAAGAAGTCTGCTTTCTTTTTTCTTTTTTTTTTTTTTTTTGAGATGGAGTTTCGCTCTTGTTGCCCAGGCTGGAGTGCAATGGCGCGATCTCGGCTCACCGCAACCTCTGCCTCCTGGGTTCAGGCAATTCTCCTGCCTCAGCCTCCTGTGTAGCTGGGATTACAGGCACGCACCACCATGCCCAGCTAATTTTTTTGTATTTTTAGTAGAGACGGGGTTTCACCATGTTGACCAGGATGGTCTCGATCTCTTGACCTCGTGATCCACCCACCTCAGCCTCCCAAAGTGCTGGGATTACAGGCTTGAGCCACCGCGCCCGGCTAGAAGTCTGCTTTCAACAATCTCTCAGTAGAAAAGGATCCTTGGCTAGACTTTGAATTAACCAGAAACCTGGCCTGTGATTAGGGAGTGTCCCAATAATAGGGGAGGGGTGGAATTGGCAGGGAAGAGCAAAATCGTAAGCCTCCTTTTGTATATTTCAGGTATTCTCTAGTATCCAGTTGTATAGCCAGGTTTTGTTCTCGGATATTGAATAACCTGGCAATGAAACCTAACAACAATTTGATGTTATTATCATAATCATACTCACATGCTCATCTTTACATTGCTTCATATTAACAAATACTTATTTGCATGAGTGTGTATAGTCATCTTTTTGATCTTTTGCAAAGTTAATTAACCACCAGACTTCTATAACCCTGAGAATTCACTTCACATAGGATGCTGTGGAGTAACACAGCTCAAACCATCGGCAGTTATCTTTTCTGATGGCCAGATCAATGACACACTCTATCTGAAACCAGAGGAAAAAATAACTTCAGCACAAATCATTGTAATCAATGAGGGACAACAATTCAGTCTCCAAAATGATTTAAATTTATGTTTCCACACCTACTTCATTTAAGGCTCAATTAAAACAAAGATATATTTTACCCTACTTGGAGCCCCATTTCTCTCCATTGTAACTCAATGCTACAAGTCACCAAAATGTACTTTTTAATGTGTTCTTATGGTTTGAAAACAGGTTTTTTGAAAAGGATATTAGACCTTTGATATATAAAAATAGTATTTTAGGGTGGGCGCGGTGGTTCATGTCTGTAATCCCAATACTTTGGGTGGCTGAGGTGGGCAGGTTACCTGAGGCTGGGAGTTCGAGATCAGCCTGGTCAATATGGAGAAACTCCGTCTCTACTAAAAATACAAAATCAGCCAAGTGTGGTGGTGCATGCCTGTAATTCCAGCTACTCAGGAGGCTGAGGCAGGAGAATCACTTGAACCTGGGAGGCAGAGATTGCAGTGAGCTGAGATCACACCATTGCACTCCAACCTGGGCAACAAGAGTGAAACTCTGTCTCAAAAAAAAAAAAAAAATAGTTTTTTAATTGTAAAATCAAATTGCATTCAATATAGAAAGTTTTTAAAATGTAGACCAGCAAAAAAGAAATATCTATCATTCCCATAATCCCATAACTTTACTAGTAACCATAATCCCTCTTTTTTTTTTTTTTTTTTTTTTTTTGAGGCGGAGTTTCGCTCTTGTTACCCAGGCTGGAGTGCAATGGTGCGATCTCGGCTCACCGCAACCTCCACCTCCTGGGTTCAGGCAATTCTCCTGCCTCAGCCTCCTGAGTAGCTGGGACTACAGGCACGCACCACCACGCCCAGCTAATTTTTTGTATTTTTAGTAGAGATGGGATTTCACCATGTTGACCAGGTTGGTCTTGATCTCTCGACCTCATGATCCACCCGCCTCGGCCTCCCAAAGTGCTGGGATTACAGGCTTGAGCCACCGCGCCCGGCCCATAATCCCTCTTTAATAATTCAGAATATGTCTTTGAAGTTTTGGACCCTCTCTTTCTCAATCTCTTACTTAAATGAAACCACTAATTGAACCATTTTACAGCCTGTTTTTTTCACTTTGCCATATGATCATTACTTCATTAAATTTAATTCCTTCCAAAGGCCAAGTACTTAAATTGTCTTCTATATCATTGCTTTTGGATGTGTTTAGGACTGTATTAGAGTTTATTTAACCTTGTTTTGGAAAATTGAGACTGTTTACAATTTTTTTCATTATTATGAACAATAAGGGCACATCCTTTAAGCCAAATACTTTTACGTATCTATGAACAATTCATTAAGGATGCATTCTTAGTATAATTGTGGGTCACAAATATTACACCTGCTTTTACAGATTGTGATATGTAAAGTGCTCTCCACAAAGGCTGTGTCAATTTGTTTTTCCACCAGAAGCATGTTACAGGATTTCCATGAGTTCACTCTAACACTGTGTACTACTATTTTTCAAAATCCTAGCTAATTTGATAGGTTTAAATGACATCTAGTACTGCTTTGATTTGCAGTGACGATACAATTTTAATATATTTGTTTACTATTTTACAAGTAATATTTTTGGTAGGCAACTTGCAGGTGAAGTGAAAGCATATATGTACTTAAAATAAATCTTTAGATGTAACTTCAGATGCATACATGTCTGTATTTTCATTCTGTATGAGCCCCTATCCTTCCATTTGTCTCGTCCTTCTCTGAGTAGTCAAGTGTCCTGGCAGTATTTCACATGTAGAGATGAACTAAGAGAGCCACACCTGAAAAGTGAATATTTAATAAACAGTCAGTATTTTTATACTTTAAAAAATCTTCATCTTATTCACAATTGAACGATATAACTGAAAATTCTAGGTGTCGTTCTATAGTTCTTGGGGTTTCATAGGCTTTAAAGGCCCCCAAAACTCAATGTCATCAGAATTCTCTCATCTTTTCCTGTCTATTAGGTATTGTTCTCCCCTGGCTTGGCTTCATTCTTAAATAGACTAAAGACTTCGAAGAAGCTTGTTTTACAATGACAGCAAGATGGTTACCAGCAACTTACAGCTCACATGCTATTCGAGACAGCAGTTTCGGGGGGAAAGAGTGTGATTCTTTTACAATGGTTTCAGAAAAAGTCCCTTGGAGAATTCTGACTGGTTCATCTTGAATCGTGTGCTCATTCCCAAGGGAAATTCTCCAATTAGTCAGCCTACATCAAAGGCACACTTCTGTGGAGAGCCTCTTGATTGACAGGCCTTGGGGTTGGGGTGGGGATAAGATTGGGGTGAGGGACCGGGGTAGGGGGAATGTCAGTTCTCAAGAGGAAAAGATGCTAGCCAACAAAAAATAAAAACGTTCCCCATGACATGGGCACCTGGAGAAAGGGCGGGGCAGGAATGGGGGTGGGAGGAGTTGAGTTGGGTGAGGGGAAGAGAGTCTTGAAACAGAATTGCGTGAATACCAAACTTTTAAAAAATCTTGCTGTGGTGGTAAAATACATAACATAAAATGTACTGTTTTTACTATGGTTAAGTGTACAGTTCAGTGGCACTAAGTACATTTACACTGTTGTACAACCATCACCACCATTTATCTCCAGAACCCTCTTATTGCAAACTGAAACTCTGTATCTGTTAAACAAGTATCCATTTCCTTCTCCTCCAAGCCCCAGCAACTGCCATTCTATTTTCTACCAGTTTGACTATTCCAGATACCTTGTGTAAGGGGAATCATGCAGTATTCGTCCTTTCAGGTCTGGTTTCGCTTAATAAAATGTCTTTAAGTTTCATCCACATTCTAGCATGTATTAAAGTTACCTTCCTTTTTAAGGCTGAATAATATTTTATTGCATATATGACCAAACTTTTAAAATGAGTAGTGAAAAACATCCTAGAGAGGAAGATAGTCTGCCAGAGAAGTAGAAGAAAACTACAAAGAACCCATTTGCCAGAGCCAAAAGCAGAGAGATTTCTTTTCTTTTCTTCTTTTTGAGACAAGGTCTCACTGTGTCTCCCAGGCTGGAGTGCAGTGTCTTGATCATAGCTCATTGCAGCCTCAAACTCCTAGGCTCCAGGGATCCTCCAACCTCAGCTTCCCAAATAGCTGGGACTCCAGATGTGAGCCACCATGCCCAGCTTTAAAACAGAGAGCTTGCAAGGAGGGAGTGAGCAAAATATTGAATGCTATAGAGATGAAACTCAATGACAAATGACAAAAGACGGGGTCTGTTGAAGAGAAAGTCATTAATGATCTTACCAACAATGGTTTTGGTGAAATTATGGAGGCTGAATCCTGATTGTTTTGGGTTCAAAAGTATATGGGAAATGAAGAATAATAAAGACTCTTTAGAAGTGTCTAGCTGTTAAGACGAAGACAAAGATGCAGTGGTAGCTAGGGGGAGACTAAATTTAGGATAATATAGTCAAGTATAAGAAGAAGAGAAGTGGATATTTGATGGTAAAGCGGGTTGCAAGGTAAAGTAGTAGGGATGGAAGGAGGAGCAGGGAGGTGCTGAGTGCTGACTGGCCTGATTTCTCAAATAAAATGGTCTGTTTCTCAGCTGACTACTTTACAGAGAACTTCATATTTCTTATGGCAGCTCCTAAGTGATATGTTTTGTTGCAGATCCGCCAGATGTTCCTGATGAGGTAACCTGTGTCATTTATGAATATTCAGGCAACATGACTTGCACCTGGAATGCTGGGAAGCTCACCTACATAGACACAAAATACGTGGTACATGTGAAGAGGTAGGTCCCTTCTTCACGGCTTCATATAAGCAGTTCCACCCCAGTTCAGCCAGTGCTCTGCCTCCAGCAGAGATCTAAGAAATCAGCCTCAAACGTTAAATATATACCCTGATTTATCCCTAATTTCCTACTTATGATCAGTGAAACTACCAATGCCCTTTTCGGGCCAGTAATATTTTCACTCTGGAAGGCAAAGTGTTCTACAATCTTTCTGTCCTTTTTATTCATTAAAAGGTAACTGGTAGCAGGGGCCTAGTTTTAAACCATTGCCTAGGCCGGGCACAGTGACTCACACCTGTAATCCCAGCACTTTGGGAGATAAAGGTGGGCTGATCACCTGAGGTCAGGAGTTTGAGACCAGGCTTGCCTATGTGGTAAAACCCTGTCTCTACTAAAAACACAAAAAATAGTTGGGCATGGTGGCAGGCACCTGTAATCCCAGCTACTTGGGAGGCTGAGGCAGGAGAATCTCTTGAATCTGAGAGGTGGAAGTTGCAGTGAGCCGAGATTGCACCATTGCACTCCAGCCTGGGTTATAGAACAAGACTCTATCTCAATAAAATAAAATAACATACAAATAAAAAAAATAGCCGGGCGTGGTGGCTCAAGCCTGTAATCCCAGCACTTTGGGAGCCCGAGGCAGGTGGATCACAAGCTCAAGAGATCGAGACCATCCTGGTCAACATGGTGAAACCCTGTCTCTACTAAAAATACAAAACATTAGCTGGGCATGGTGGCTCGTGCCTGTAATCCCAGCTACTCAGGAGGCTGAGGCAGGAGAATTGCCTGAACCCAGGAGGCGGAGGTTGCAGTGAGCCGAGATCGCACCATTGCACTCCAGCCTGGGTAACAAGAGCGAAACTCCGTCTCAAAAAATAAATAAATAAATAAATAAATAAATTGTTGCTTAAATCCTCGCTCTATTCTTCTGGGGTTTCAACAACGTAATTTCTCTGAATTGCTATTAGTTTAAATCTTTAAATGAGCCTGAAAATAAAACCTAAAGCACAGGTTTGTTCTAATTCATTATGTGGAATTTGGCTTTTAAAGTCTGTATAATCATGCTAGGTTACCATTAAATTCATTGAAGCTATTAATTGTTCATAATGACCCTCGAATCTTAAATTTGGTGTCTATATAGGCTCATCAGCTTTCCTGTTTGCCTCATGCTAAGTGGCTTTGCAGGACAAAGGATTTTCAGTTTTAAAAAGCTGGAAAGTTGTAGGCGAACTAGGACAAGTTGATCACCTTATCCGTGTTTTTTGTTTTGTTTAGTTTATTAAAAAATAAAATTCAGCCAGGCACAGTGGCTCACTGCCTGTAATCACAGCACTTTGGGAGGCCGAGGCGGGCAGATCACGAGGTCAAGAGATCGAGTCCGTACTGGCCAACATGGTGAAACCCCATCTCTACCAAAAAAAAAAAAAAAAAAAAATACAAAAATTAGCTGGGTGTGGTGGCACATGCCTGTAGTCCCAGCTACTCGGGAGGCTGAGGCAGGAGAATTGCTTGAACCTGAGAGGTGGAGGTTGCAGTGAGCCGAGATCAGCCACTGCACCACAGCCTGGCTCCTGGTGACAGAGTGAGACTCTGTCTCAAAAATAAATAAATAAATAAAATAAAATAAAATAAAATAAAATAAAATAAAATAAAATAAAATAAAATTCTAGGCCAAGGGCAGTGGCTCGAACCTGTAATGCCAGCATTTTGGGAGGCTGAGGCTGGCGGATCACCTCAGATCAAGAGCTTGAGATCAGCCTGGCCAACATGGTGAAATCCCATCTCTACTGAAAATACGAAAATTAGCTGAGTGTGGTGGTGGACACCTGTAAGCCCAGCAACTAGAGAGGCTGAAGCAGGGAGGACTGCTTGAACCCAGGAGGCGGAGCTTGCAGTGAGCTAAGATCCCGTCACTGCACTCCAGCCTGGGCCACAGAGCAAGATTCCATCTCAAAGAAAAGTACTAAAAGGCTGGGCGTGGTGGCTCACACCTGTAATCCAAGCACTTTGGAGGCCAAGGTGGGCGGATCACCTGAGGTCGGGAGTTCAAGACCAGCCTGACCAACATGGTGAAACCCAGTCTTATTTTAAAAAAAAGAAGAAGATGATGATGATGAAATACTAAAAATAAAATAATAAAATAAAGTGCCAATGGGGCACAGTGGCTCATACCTATAATCCCAGCACTTTGGGAGGCCTAGATGAGTGGATCACCTGAGATCAGGAGTTCGAGATCAGCCTGGCCAATATGGTGAAATCCCGCCTCTACTAAAAACACAAAAATTAGCTGGGCATGGTGATGCGTGCCTGTAATCCCAGCTACTGGGGAGAGAGGCAGGCAAATTGCTTGAACCCTAGAGGCAGGCAAATTGCTTGAACCCTGGAGGCAGAGTTTGCGATGAGCCAAGGTCACGCCATTGCACTCCAGCCCGGGCAACAAGAGCGAAACTCCATCTCAAAAATAATGACTAAAATAAAATAAAATAAAATGCCTTCTGTAGTGTTTTTGAAATACACTTTTTTTTTTCTGTCAGTAATTCTTAAAAATTTCACGAACAATTTTTTAAAGCATTTATTAGATCCTTACTGTTTGCCAAGCACTGAGCCAAGAGCTTTATAAATGTTGCCTCATTTAATATCCTACACAACCAATGTGAGGCACTGGATGATTCAAATACTTTTGTCCTAAAACTCATATGTTGAAACCAGTCCCCAATGCAATAGTATTAAGAGTTGGGGCCTTTGAAGTGAGATTAGGTCATGAGGGTGAAGCTGTCATGGATGGAAGTATTGCCCTTCTCTAAGAGGCCTGGAAGAGAGCTCGTTTGCCCATCTACCCTGTGAGGACACAGATAGAAGGTGCTATCTATAAAGCAGAGAGTGAGCCCTCACCAGACACTGAGTTTGCTGATGCCTTGATCTAAGACTTTCAAGCCTCCAGAACTATAAACACTAAATTTCTGTTGTTTATAAATTACCTAGTCTAAGTTATTGGTATAGCAGCACAAACAGACTAAGACAGATGCATACAATTATTTTTCCCATTTACATAGACAAGTGAACTGAGGCTTAGAAAGGTCAGGTGATGTATCCAGGACCACACAGCTGCAAGAAGGAGAGGTGGAATTTATTTTTTGTTTTTTCCTTTGGTGCCGTGACTCAGTGGAATTTGAACATAGGTTGCCTGTCTTCTTATTTTCTGTTGAAGGGCTGTAGAGGACCATATCGGAGGGCATATTTAAGATATTTTATTCTGTTCTCATCATTATGGAAGAGAATAACCTTCTTTTTTTTTTTTTTAGTTATCTTTTTATTTATTTATTTATTTATTTATTTTTGAGACGGCGTTTTCGCTCTTGCTACCCAGGCTGGAGTACAATGGCACGATCTCGGCTCACTGCAACCTCCGCCTCCTGGATTCAAGCAATTCTCCTGCCTCAGCCTCCGGAGTAACTGGGATTACAGGCATGCGCCACCGTACTCGGCTAATTTTTTTGTATGTTTAGTAGAGGCGGGGTTTCACCATGTTGACCAGGATGGTCTCGATCTCTTGACCTCGTGATCCACCCGCCTCGGCCTCCCAAAGTGCTGGAATTACAGGCTTGAGCTACCGCGCCTGGCATTTTATCTTTTTATTTATTTAATTTAATTAATTTATTTATTTAGCCGGAGTCTCACTCTGTCACCCAGGCTGGAGTGCAGTGGCGCGATCTCAGCTCACTGCAGCCTCCACCTCCTGGGTTCAAGCAATTCTCCCAGCCACCGAGCCTGGTCTCTAAGGAAGAGAATAACCTAATCTTGCTCTCTTTCTCCACCTGTTGGATACTCAAAATAATTTTGATTAAGTGAAACATAAAAAGAAACACCTCTTCATTCAAGAAAGTCCGTGTAGAAACTAGACAGATTTTATGAATACATCGCCAGGCCTGGAGTTACCAGCTGCATGCCGTGGGCAAGAAGCATACACCTTTCATTCTGAGCAGGAGTTAAGCAGAGGAATATTCCAGTACCAAAGAGATGATGAAAACTCTGATATCAGGGATGGATAGAATTGATGGATGATATGCAATGTGCTAAGCACTGTGCTCTGTATTTCATGTGCGTGATGTCTTAAACTCTGAACTTATCCTTGTGAGGGAACTATTGTCATTGTTCCTGTTTTATAGATGGCTTGGGGAACTCACATTACCTCTCCAAAGTCATTTGACTAAGAATAAAGGAGAAAGGATTCTAACAGGAGTCTCTCTGGCTACACCATTAGAGACTAAACCTCTACCCCTTGCCTATAGGGTAAAATAGAAAAAAGCCTACAAGAGCAAGACAATTAGAGTCTCATTGCTAAGTCAACTTTAGGAATGTGAAGGTGAGGGCCATATGGGAGCAAACTTTGCACTTCGAGCTCACAGAAAAAAACAGGCAGTGCCAGATTGACAGAGCCTAGTGACCTGAGGATCTTCACTATCTCCCAGAAGCTGGAAGGATCTCCTGAACTCCTGATCTTGGTTGTTGGGTTAATTCATTCTTTCCTTTGTTTTTTATATAAACTTTATTAAGTATAATTCACCTACCATGCAATTCTCCTTGTTTAAAGTATATCATTCCTTGAGTTTTAGCACTTATCACTACAATTAAGATTGAAGATTTTCATCATGACAAAAAAAATCACATCCATTAGCAATCACTTCCTATTTCCCCTCAATCCTCCCAGTCCTTGACAACCACTATCTGCTTTTTGTCTCTGTGGATTTGCCTACTCTGGACACTTCATATAAAAGGAATCATATAATATGTGGTCTTTTGTGGCTGGCTTCTTTCATTCAGTATAATGTTTTCAAGGTTATCTGTGGTGCAACATGTATCAGTACTTTATTCTTTTTTAGGCAAATAATATTCCATTATGTGGAACACGTTTTATGTATTTATTCCTTGGTTGATAAACATTTTGGTTGTTTGCACTTTTCAGCTATTATGAATTATGCTTCTATTAATATTTGTATACA